ATGCCTACCCCGCGTCATCTCGTGAGGCTACCTTACGTTGAAACGGTGAAGGTGAATCAGTTTCTGTGACTAATAGAAAAGTTGGTGCCAGGAAGTGGGTGCCCAAAGGAACAGACTCTGCAATGTGGCCAGTGGGGTGTAACCTAAAGTGGGACTTAGTGGGCAGGGGCCAGGTCTGTTCCCATGAGAATGCTTTTAGCTGCAAGGGCTGTGAGAGCTGCGTGGAGAGCCCTCGGTAATGAGGGTTTAGGATCTCACACACAGTGCCATGGGAGTCCCAGCGTCAGGTCGGCCCGGGGCCCACAGGCTCCCACATGCCCACTGAGCTTGGACTCGGAAGGCGGACAGGGCAGCATCCAGCAGGGAAGGAGGTACTTCACCCTGTGTCCCTGGGGCCTCTTTACAACCTCCCATGGCTGCCCCTGCAGACCCCTTGGCCAGGCTCCAATCAGCCCTCTGCAGGGCATTGCAAGGAGCGGTGAGCTGCTGTGACACCACGCTCAAGTCAGCCTCCTGTCTGAGAAGAGTGCTGCCTGCCCCGGCACCCTCCCACCTTGAGGAGGAGGTGTGTTTGTAGTGGGCATGGGGGCACCCAGTGTCTGCTACCTGGAAATTTTATCAGAGTGAAATTCAAAGCAGAAAATTCAAATTAAAACAATGACAGTGAGAAAAGGGCCTCCTCTCCAGAAGGGCAGCGGCCCCCAGTGCGCCTCCTGCAAGTGTGGAAACACGAAGAGTGAAGCCAATAAAGGAACGCCCTCTTTGATCTGGAAAGGTGGAAGTGAGCCCTCAGCTGTGATGGAACAGAGCCTCCCTGTGTTGCCTGGAGATGGACATTGTGGGGGCATCGACTCCCCTCTTCCCTGTCTCCAGGAAGCGCCACCCCACCGTGTGCCTGGGCTTCAGCACACTCCTCCCGGCCCTGCAGCACTGACCCTGGCTGCGGACACGCTGGGCTCCCTGGGCTGAGGCAGGGGTGGCCTGGCCTAAGAACAGGGCAGGTGCTGCGGACATCCCTGGGGAGGGGCTGCCCCCAGAATCCCACTGTGAACCCTGGTCAAGCCGGGTCTGGGGCTCTGAACCCTGGGCATAACTGCTGCCCATCCCCAGGGTCATACTGTGCCATGCAGCCAAGACAGTCGCCCCTCGGGGCAGAAGGCTCCAGGCAAGGGAGGACTGACTCCCTGGCTTGCCCAGCACTGCATGGGCCCTCTCTGGCTCCCCTGGCTGCTCTCCGAGGTGCCCTGCTGGCCTGAGAGCACCCACCCCTCCAGTGACGACCTCTGGCAACTGCACCCTGTCCTCGGCTGGCCCCTGTCCCTTCCTGGCCCACTGCACACTGACCCCATGCCTTGTGGAGCTGGCTACACCCCGGGCCACGGTTCAGGCTAGGAGTGCTACAGGGCAGCTGGTCCTGCTGCTCAGAAAGGCCTTTTCAGAGCTGGTAGGTGGGAGCTGAGCGTGACAGTGCTTCGTGGTTATTCCACAGGCTCCAGGGTGTCCCAGGCAGCCATGTGAGGACACCACAGCGGTGTCCTCTGTGCTTCCCTGCCCCAGCCTAAGCATGGAAGTTCAGGGGGACTTGGGTGCAGGTGGGGCAGTGTGACGGAGGGCCCACCTGAGAGGACATGGAGTACATGAATTCCCTGGTGCAGGTTCGCAGCCCAGCGAAGGCCAGGGCTTGAAATGGCTGTAATCTATGGACAGGACTCTCAGTGAGCAAGGCCTGTTGTCTGGTGGCCCAGCCAGACAGAGGGGATGTTGGGAGGGAACGGGCCGGCCCCAGTGTGCCCTGAGCCAACCCCGACTGCCCACAGGTCTTGGTCCGGCAACTCGATGATGGCACAGAGCTCCGTGGCCGCATTGTGGAGACTGAGGCGTACTTGGGGCCAGAGGACAAAGCTGCCCACTCAAGGGGTGGCCGGCAGACCCCCCGCAACCGCAGCATGTTCATGAAGCCAGGGACCCTATATGTGTACCTCATCTATGGCATGTACTTCTGCATGAATGTCTCCAGCCAAGGTGAGCAGTGCCGGGGGCTGGAGCAGGAGGCCTGGTCCCAGCCCCCCAGCAGGTCGCTGGGAGGCCCCTGAGAGGACCAGGGTGAGGCAGGTGTTTGAGCGAGGCGCCAGTGCTAGGCTACATCAGGGTTTCAGGAGCTCTGGCTGTGTTCACAGGGTGATCACGGTGGCCGAGCCCCATTAGAGGTCGTGGGTTGGCCTGGACACAGAGCAGACAGGTTCGGTTCCATGAGGCGCCACTATATGCAGAGCTCAGAGCCGGCAGCACGGATGGCCCAGGGTAGACTCGGGAGGGGCTGGCTGTGGCAGTGACAGGAGCCTTGCCAGGCTGCCTGTTACGGGGTCTGAATCAGTAGTTCTCAACTGAAGCTGAGTCTGACACCCTGGGGGACACCAGGCAGTGCTTGCAGACACTTCTGGTCATCACGGCTGGTGGGATGCAGCTCAGTGCACAGGAGGTGCCCCCACCACGGAAAACCGTCCACCCCAAACGTCAGTAGTGTGAAGGGAGATGCTGTTCTAGAGCTCCCAGGAGAGCCTACTCACCTCATGGGGCCTGCCGGGGCAGCCCTGCCCTCTGGGAGCGGGCAGCTGTCCTCTCTGTGGTCTGTGCTCAGAAGAAAGAACCCGTACCAACTGGCCAGAGACTGGCTAAGAGCACGGCCTGCCCAGCCACTCTAGCTGGCTAGTCCCAGTGTCTGTCCGCCCAGAGTCCCCTGGCTGGTCCCAGGGTGAACGAATGCTTGAGGCCAGTGAGGGGATGAGTTCGGGTGTGCTGTAAGTCAGACATGTTTGCTGAGTGACTCAGTGAACAGGGGGCCGTGGTTGCCCAGAGATGGCCCCTGGGGATATTCAATGCTACAGCTGCAGGGGCAAGAGCAAGGGGTAACCCATGGCACAAAAAGGGTATTGATGGAAATGTCAAGGATAGTGGGGACCACCCCACAGGGCCCTTCTATCACCCTGGAGAGCTTTTGTTGGTCTGGAGCATTTCTTTGGCAGCGAAACCAACAGCCTCGTATAAAGTGGGCCTGAACTCAGATAAGGAGAGGGACTGAGTCCAGAGATGCCTGGGACTGTGGTCAGCGAGGCAGGGAGGAGCCAGGGCTTCTGAGGGCAGACTGCAGAAGTGGGAGGTGGCATACTACTTTCTGGACAAATGACCAAGATGCCCCAGAACACCTAGTTCGGGGGGAGGGGAGCAGGAAACCACATTTGTAGAGTCAGGGCCAAAGCCGAAGGTTATCCCAGTACATCAAGGCAGAGGGGAGGCGAAGTGTATCACCCGCAGGGCAGTGGCAGTACAGAAAGGGCTGGAAGAGCAGAGAGGGGAGATTGCTGAGGCCAAGCAGGCGGTGTGGGCGAAGGAGCAGGGGTGGGACTGGACACTCGGTGGGAAAGGTCAGGGTGTTGTGATTTTACTCAGGGTGCGGGCCTCAGACGTGCTCCAGGAGCGGGGTATGGTGATGGGTGGGGTGGGCTGCTCCTCGGACCCATCTGGGGGTTTAGTGGGACAGTGAGGGATGTGTCACACCCCCAGCAGCTCGGGGTGGACACACATAGCCCAGTTGGGAAGGGCCCCGGAACTACAGAGCAATTTGAACTTCAAGTCCTTGCTGGTCTTTAGGTGTACTGTGAGTTCCTTTGAATACTGGCTGGTTAAAAGCATCTGCTCACAAAAACCCCACTTGCCAGCTGCTGCTGGTGCAGGAGGGTGTAGCTGCTGTGTCCACTCAGGGCCAGCTCCTGGGTGCTGGTGAGGCCTGCATGGCGAGGCCCAAGAGTGGGGACCAGCCTGGCTCTCCCTCAGGCTGAGCCATCAGACTCCGAGGGGGAAGGGTAGGCCATAGTGTCTCAGGAGAGTGGCCTTGCTGGGACTGGGGTTCTTCTGGCCCCCATCCAGGTAGTCACCACTGGAATTTGGACAAATGTGTCTTCTTGGGCCCCAGGTGTCAGTTTGCTGCCTGGCCTTTGAAGTAGCCTGGCCTGGTCGGGGAGGGTTGGGCCGCAGGGGATTCCCAAGGGAGGTGAGGGGCACTATCAGCAGACACCTCCTTCTACCCGGTTAGTGTCCCCACTGGGTCATGGGGTGGGGCTCACCCAGCATCCTTGAACACTGGTAGCTGCTCTGAGCCAACCTTCTGGCTTGCCCAATAGATCCTGAATGGGCAGAGGCAGGTGGGGGACTCTGGGGCCAGATAGGGATCTGGGCCAGCCCAGGACCTTCCAGCTTCCTGATGGGGCCACCATGCCCAAGGAAAACCGGCTATCTAAGGTTTTCTTGGCCAGACTCAGCGCTGCTGATCACCAAACCAGAGAAGCAAAGAGGAAGCCCACCACAAGCACTCACTAAGCATTTTTGCTGGTTCTCCCAGCTGGTGTTTAGGCCCTCTGGCTCCACGGGGGCCCCACCGGGAGCCCCACGGGTGCAGGTGTGTGGGAGGGAGAGGCAGGCCGAGAGGAGGGTTCGGACAGTAAATGAGTACAGGAGTGCTCATGAAGGCAGCTGCGCCGTCCCTGCAGCACTGTTGTGCCCCAGGGTGGGGAGGCCCAATCGATCTGTCTGTCTGTCTGTCTCACAGGGGACGGGGCATGTGTCCTGCTGCGAGCGCTAGAGCCCCTGGAAGGCCTAGAGACCATGCGGCAGCTTCGCAGTACCTACCGGAGAGCCAGCACAGGCCGGGCCCTCAAAGACCGCGAGCTCTGCAGCGGCCCCTCCAAGCTCTGTCAGGCCCTGGCCATTGATAAGAGCTTCGACCAACGTGACCTCACCAAGGACAAGGCCATGTGGCTAGAGCGCGGCCCGCCGCAGCCCAGGGAGCCAGCTGTGGTGGCGGCAGCCCGAGTGGGCATCGGCAGTGCAGGGGAGTGGGCCCAGAAGCCCCTGCGCTTCTATATCCAGGGCAGCCCCTGGGTCAGTGTGATAGACAGAGCAGCTGAGAGGGATGCACAGGTCTGAGTAAGAGACTGCTCAGAACAAACTTTTTAATTGTTTAAAACCCAAATAAACACTTCATTTCTAGAAAACGTGTTGCTTGTGTCTTGACCAGAGGGCCCCCCCGACCACTGCCCCGTAACGATCGGCTTCCTCCAGGATGGGGATGTCAGGCCCCTGCGAGTGCCGTGCCGTGGGGTAGAGAGCCTGGCCCAGCGCAGACACGCCCTTCCTTGGGCCTGTTGCGGGGCCCCTGCACTCCCCTCTGCTCCACCCCAGGGCCAAGGAAGCACTGTGGATCAGCCCAGGCCCTCGTGCCTCACGTGACAAAGGGGGGGGGGGGTGGCTTGGCCATGAGCTTCCTGGTGGCTACACAGGGCTGTGGTGACGGCCAGGCCAGGAAATGCCCACGGGCTGGGAGGAATGGGACAGTGCCGGGCCACACGCGATGGGCCAGGCACATGACCCTCAGGCTTGGAAGGGCAGCAGTGGAGGAGCCGAGGAGCACAGGCTGGACTGGAAGGTCAAAGAAACATGTGACCCAAATCTGTGTGGGAAGCACGCGGGCCTCACTCAGCATGAGTCCTGAACGCCTCCTCCGCTCAGAGCCTCACCTCCTCAGCTCAGACACTGAACCAGTTTTGAGGACTAGATGAGTGACACGCCCCCACCAGCTGCAGCAGCCTGCCTCTGCATCCTCCGCCCAGGCTCACGTGAGCAGCGCCTGGAAGACGGCGATGACCGGGTCCTCGTGGGTGGTCACCACCAGCACGCTGCGGAACTTGTCGAAGAGCATGAGCAGCTGGGAGCGCCTTGTGTTCTCGTTGTACATGATCTCCTCTAGGTGGTGGCGGCCTCGGAAGTACTGCAGGAGCCTAGAGGGGGGGATGGCACAGCCCAGGCTGGCCTCTGAGCAGCCCACAGGCCCAATCAGAGCGGGTAGAGGGGTCTCAGAGGCCTAGGGAAGCAGCTGTCCATGACTCCCCCAACAGGAGCAGGCAGATGTCCTGGACCCATGGCCCACCATGGTCCCCTGAAGTGAGTCCGTGAGGACATGTGGCTGTCCAAACCCAGAGCGCCCAGGTCACATCCACCCCCAGCACTCTGACACGCATGAGGTAGCACCGGGCTGGTCTGCCAGAGGCTTCTCTTTCATGCCACTGCGGCAGCGAGCCCCGTGGTTCTGGATCCAAATGGGGTCACCGCTCGGGGGTGTCTGCAACTGGGGCTGAGCAAAGACCTGGACCAGCTGCCTGGCATGTGGTTCTTAACTGGGGGCTCAGTCCCTGGCAGCCTGACCTCTTCCAGAATACCGCACACCTGCAGTGCCCCCCAAGTCAGGGGCGGGTGTGACCAAGTCTGTGTCACCTATAGTATGGATTCTCCCACCCCTAAGCTGAGTCCTAGGAAAAATCCCTGCCAAGCCTCATGAGGATGAGACCTTGCTGCCACGCCCTAAGAAGTGACAAGAAACACTCAGAAGTACTAGTGATACTCCCAACGACAGAGGCACCAGACCTGGAGTCTCAGCAACAGACTGAACCCCCCATACCGGGCACAAACGGACCAGGCAGGGACACCCAAGTGCACGAGATGTCACCTCAACCAGTGAGTGCCGTTTGTCATTAATGGGTTTCAGTTGGGGTGGGCTGAGTAGGCCCCCATCCGCTTCCTGTCCTGACCCTGGACTCGGGCCCAGCCCCAGCAGTCACCCGCGCCCACCTGGCAAACATGCGGAGGTCCTCGGGGTTCTGGGCCGCAGGCACACTGAGGACGGCTGCCCGCTCGTGCTCTGACAGGCTGGCCAGCAGGTTCTCTGTCATCCTCTTGTTCAGCGGGGAGTCCCCACTGGGGAGCAGCTCTGCACTGGAGTTGTCCATGCTGGGGCTCGTGAGCGTCATGTCGTCACTGCTGGCTGTGAGTGGGCACCGGTCAGGGAGCAGTCGGTCCCCCAAGGACACTCCCACCCGACATGAAAGATGAAGAGCCCTGGGCAGGCCAGGTCCTTGCACTGAGCCTGAAGCCCAAGGTCAGGCCTCAGCTTGGGGAGGCGCTGCCTGAAAAACCTTCCTGCCCCTCCTCTCCTTCTCCAAGCCCAGAGACCTGGAGCTGGGCAATGCACTACTGCCTCTGGGGCACAGTATGGCCACACAGCTCTTTCAAGAAGGGACCGTGACAGTCACTGTCTCTTCATAGGCCTGGGGTAGAGGTTTCAACCGTCCTGCCAGTGATAGTGATAGTGATGCACATGGCAGGCTGCGGGCAGGCTGCTCCTGACGGGAACAAGCCCCTGCTCAAGAGCCCAAAGGTACAGCCTCCTCCTCAGAGCCAAAGATGTAGAGGGAAGTGGGGGAGGGGTCTCCTGGGCTCCTTTAAGGAAGGCAGTCTGCAAGAGGACTGAGCTGCCGGCATGAGAGACAGGTATGTGTGCACGTGTGGCCACCAGAAGGTCCCTCAGTCGTTCCAGCAATGCCTTTGTTGGACCACCTGGCCACCATTCCCAGGCATCCCCTGGGTGCTCACTCCCCCACCCTGCCACCACAAAGATGCCCTGGGCAGGGGACTCCTACTTGGGGAGCCAAAGCTGAGGGCATTGGGCGTGCTGAGGCTGCGACCGCCGACCCTGGCAGTGAAGGGGACCTCCTCCTCCCGCAGACGGGGCTCATCCTGGCTGGGTGAGGCCATCAGGCAAACGTAAGTGTGCAGCTGGACCAGGAGCCTGTGCTGCAGCATCCACACCACCATCTGAATGAGCTGGGTCTGCAGGACAGACAGGGTGAGCTGGGCACAGGGAGAGGCTGGGCCCCACCACTGCCCTGTTCCCTTCCTGATAGGAATGGGGTGCCTAGGTCTAAGACACGACCCTCACAAGTCACCCTGGAAATCCAGGGGTGCACGAGCTCCAGAGGCTTGACTTAGGGCAGGAAGGCGGCTCCCACCTTAGAAAGGAGCTCTCAGCCACTGGCTGACTCTACGAGCCTAGCAGCCTCCAGGGAAGGCAGCGAATCTAGGAGAGCAGCAGGGCCGTGGTGGCACTTGCTCCCACACACCTGGCTGCCCTAGCGCTTGGCCTTTCTCGCTCAGAGCTGAGGACCAGGACCTGGGACGCGGAGGCCCATATGCCCTCCCAACTCTGAGCTGCCCCTCTTCTGCCTTGTCTCCCCAGCCCACTGGGCCCTGCCACTCGAGCCCACCACCACACAGAGCTGGGCCTGTGGGACCCTCTCCCTGTGGCCTGGACACTGTTCAGAAAGAAGCTGTGGGTAGCTGCCCTGAGAGTGGGAAGTCCTCTCCTCAGGAAAACCTGAAAGCATGCCCAGGGACAGGGACCCCTGCTGAGCTGTGTGGTCCCTAGCACATGTCATCCACCCCTCTCCCACAGGACGAGCAGCTGAGTAGTAGCAGTGAGGAACCCTGTGTGGGCGGAGCTCCAGCACCAGCAAGCAGGAAAAGGCACTCGGACAGTGTCCATGTTCTCGGACACACAGGCATGGAAATGGGTGCACCATGGGTGTGTATGACCTGGTCACACCAAATAAAATTGATGAGGATTGTAAAACTTTAAATTCAGAAATAAAACAGAGGCTCCATAAGTACGGAGGAACATATTCCGGGCCTGAAGCAGGAGGGGTGAGAAGCAAGCAGCCTCACCCCAGGACTGTGCAGAACCAAACCCAGCTACATCTGGGCCCCCTGACAAGGCATGAGACTGCCCCTCAGGCACGGCCTGAAAATTCCCCAGCCTTCCAGACCACCAGGAAACTTCTGCTGGGGAGGAGGAGGGTGCAGATGCAAATGCGTCTTTCTTTCAGCAGGCATGGCCTGGCACAGTTCCTGGAGACCGCAGGCTCCATGAAAGACGGCATTTAGAACTCTGTCTCACGCAGCATCTAAATGAACTGAGGAACCAGGATCGCCTTCTCATTCACAATTTGACAAAGGAAAGGGCTTGCTTCTAAAAACTGGTTCTGCCTAACAGATCTGCTGCTTATTGAAGTAAATACTTTACTTTTGAAGACACAGCCTTAAGAACACCCAGCCCCAGCTCTGACACCTGTCCCGTCTGGCCCTGCCCTGGGGCTCTGCCCAGAGCCCCAGGAGCTCAGTTGGGGGAAGGTCCAGGCCACACCCAAGCCTCCCACAGACACAGACAGAACTAACCCTACAGTTCCACCACACCTCACACCTCCCCAGAGCCCCTCCACCCACCCCTCACCCTGACCCAGGCCCATCCTCTCCATGTCCTCTTGGATGAGATTCTGGGTACCAGTGAGCCACCTGGACCAGGACAGGGAGGGAAAAGGTGGGCAGGGCCCAGGTTCAGTGAAAACAAAACCAGTTCTGCCTCCTGCATCTGTGGGATCCAGGCCCAGAAGGGGCACCAGATGGCTCTGTCCTCCCAGCAAATATCAGCACTCTCCTGACTGGGCCTCCTACTGTGGTTTAACCCTAACAACAACCCACTGCAGCAGGGTAGGCTCATGGGGGAGGGGTAGGAGGGACTTGGGACTGCCCAAGTGCTGGGTCGCTGGCCAAGCACCTGCAGGGTGGGGAGCCAGCTTTCTGTTACCCTGGTAGGGCACAGACCACCTACACAGCAAGGCCCCTCCCGGTCCCCCGACCAGAGCTAAGGGTGTGGCAGTATTGAGAGCCCTTGGATCAGGTTCCTGGGCTCCCCTGGCTCCTGAGACTCACCTCTTGCACAGGGGGAGCAAGGGGGTTCCTAAATTCTGACAAGGAGACAGGCAAGGAGAACTTGGCAAGGACGGATGGCAGGTCATGAGACGGGAACTGGTGGGAGAACTGCTCCGCCAGCGGGGAGTACCTGGGGACGGGAGAGGCAAGTGTGCCCGTGAGCTCAGCGGCCGCCCCATTGTGATTCACGGCACTCACGCCCTCGCCGGGAGCCTGCGGCAGGCAGCAGGGACATGTGGCACGGTGGGTAGGTCAGGATGAGTGCGATGAGGACAGAGCCCAGTTGCCTTCCCTCAAGGGGCAGCAGAAGCCATGGGCACTGGCCACCCCAGAATCCCTCTCAAGCCCCCAAATCAAGGCCAAGGCTCCTGACCTCCCATCGGACACACGGTACAGAGCTCACGGGCTGTAGACATGGCAGGTGCAGGCCCTTCTTGGAGGCTGCAGGTACTGGAAAAGCACAGGCCCAGGGAGGGCCAGGTGGTGCTGGACCAGGCCAGAACTGGGACTTTGGCATGGCAGAGGCCAGGCATCTGGTCCAAATGAAGGCCTGGCTGACCTGGAGAATACCACCTGGAGGGCCCTGCCAACCACACCCCTTCCCATTCAGGGGCCCCGGGCCCTGGCAGCCAGACCTACTCACAGGCACACACTGGCGTTGGGGGAAAGCATGTAGACATTGTTCTCACACAGCGGGTAGATGATGATGGCCTTGCCCCAGTACACCAGGTGAGCCGCAAGCTGGAAAACCTGCAGGCAGAGGGGGCTGGCAGGATAGTGCCTGGGAGGCTGGCCCACAGAGGCGTCTTCCCTGACTGTGGGCACAGCCGGCGCACACAGCATTTCCTGTGGTCAGAGCAACAAGCCTTTTTATCGCTGCTCCCTGTACAGTTTGGGGCTGTCATTTCCCGTCAGGGTCCTGTACTGCTCTGGCTGACACTGAGGAAAGGTCCCAGGAGCCTTTTAGGGATATTTAGGGCACCCAGGATTATGGGGTCAGCTTGACTGAGCAAGGGACTTGGCTAGACACCCTGACAGAGGCAGGCTCCCCACTCCCACCATGACTCCAGCATGGGGATGGGCTTCCACATGCAGCAACTGTGGGGTCACTGGACACGCCCTCTACCCCACACACTCATCCCTGTGTCCCAGCATCCTGGAGAGTATCCCTTGCCCAGCTCTCCTGGACATCAGGATAGGCCACAGACAGACAGAGATGCCAGAAACCCCTCCCAGTCTCACAAACGGAGGCCAGGTCTGAGAACATGGCATTGCCTTACTTCATGGAAAGAAAGGCACTGGGCACTTTTGACTTGGCATCATCCCAGGTGAGCACTTCCCCAGGTGAGCCTGCTGCCCTTCTTTACCAACGCTGGGTGCTTTCAAGGGGCTGAGTCACTCCTACCTGCATGCAATGCCTGCGACACTGTCAGGAACACCTCCACCTCGTTGTGGCACGAGGCCTCTAGTGACACCACCAACTTGAACACGATGCAAATTTCAGTTCCATCACTGACCCTCTTCTCTCTCATCCCAAGTTCCACTGACATTCACTCTGAGGCAAGGACACGCCCACTTTCCTCCACCTCTGCCACCACCCTTCCTCAGTGGTCCTCACCTCCTGCCTCTCCCTACAGCCAGAGCACCATTCTGGAGACCAGAGATCTAAAATCACTACCACATGGTGGGGTCAAGGTACTGGCAGGCAACTCTCTGCTGTTCTGTGCCTCTGCTGGCTGCAGCATTCCTTGGCATGTGGCCACATCACAGTCATGTCCCCACCTCCTTTTCTGCAAATTTCCCTCTGTCTCCCTCTCACAAGGGCCCTTGAGCCTACACTGGGCCCACCCAGATGATATAGGACCAATGCCCCACCTCAAGATCCTTAATCATGTCTGTGAAGTCCCACACAAGGCCACATTCATAGGTCCCGTGGATTAGGACGTGGAGGTCTTTGAGCATTGTTCAGCCAATTGCAAGTAATGTTCAATGTGACCCTAACTTCGTTATTAAAAAATAATGTGTTAACCTATGAGAAAAACCTGGAAGAATCTACAGTGGTTTCATCTGTATGGGATGGTGGGGACTTTCTCTTTTTGTGTCTATAATTTGTATGCTATTTGAACTTTTATTTTAAAAAAATATTAATTCTATCATGCAAAAAAAATATTCCAATACATTTACTTGTAGATGAGTGACTTAAAATGATCTGCTGACATTCATATCTGATGCTGACAGGGGACCTCCACTGGGCCACCTATCGTAGGAAGCAGGAGTCCCAGAAGTTGGTGAGGTCCACCACTGGAGCGGGGCCTCAGGGGACTTCTGTACAACCATACCAGCAAGGGGTGTGCAAGGAAACAACAGTCTCCCCACAGCGAGGCCGAGGCAGAAAAGCAAAGGAGACATCATCAAAACTTTGTCTTTGGCCCTGACTGGTGTGGCTCAGTGGATTGAGCGCCAGCCTGCAAACCAAAGGGTTGCTGGTTTAATTCCCAGTCAGGGCACACGTCTGGGTTGAGGGCCAGGTTCCCAGTAGGGGGTGCATGAGAACAACCATACATGGATGTTTCTCTCCCTCGCTTTCTTCCTCCCTTTCCCCTGCCTAAAAATAAATAAAAAAAACTTTTGTGCAAGGAGACTGACAGACTCCATGTCGGGCAGCCTCAGTGGACAATGAAGAGTCAGCATCTTTCGAAGCTTGAAATGGGAGCTGCAGAGACTCACAGGTGTCTGCCACTTCACCAGTACTGGTCAGAACATGGACTCTGCAGTACATAAGACCAGTCAGCACATTTACGGTTCTGTGTTTTGTGGGTGCTATGAAAGCAAGCAGGACGTATGAAACACCGAGGCAGAATCCAATAAAGGTTCCCACAGAGGGCAGACAAAGGTCATAAGGTACAGATGAGGGAAGGCCTTGTTCTGGATGACAAATGCAAAATGACTGCTTTGAGGCAAAAAGGCCTAAGAATCAGGCCTTGTTGGACAAGTTTCCCTGACGCCTCTCTGGGGCCCAGGTGGGCCAGCCTCTTGCCTGTGCTCCTCTTCCTCTGCCCAGCCTGAGAACGCTGCCACCCATTGGCCTTTGCAGGAATCACACATGCCTGGGAGCAGCCCTGCTGCCCTCTGGTGGCCATGTGATGGCCGCTGTCAGCAGAACCTGAGACACCCCACCACTGGCCTACAATTTCTCCTTGTGCTTTTTCCTCGTCCCCTGACCCCTTCCCAGGCTCCAGCCAGACCACAGCCAGGGCCGAGGGGCCCCCTACAACCAATCAGAAAGGGCAGCCCACAAGCACTTGGTTCAGGCAGGAGGTAGCACCTCGCACAGAACACACACTCATCTGCACGTGGGCTTAGTCAAGGACACGAGGTCAGGCCCTGGCTCTGCACGTGGGCAGGCCCTGTGTGTCCTACCCTCACCTCCCTTACTCCAAAAGTGCAGTGCTGCTTTCTCAAGTGGCCACCTGCTGTGCGCCTGCTTCAAACCTGCAAGCCGCCCTGGCCCAGCATTCCGCCTTCCCAGCACCAGAGGGCCTCACTCCTCTCCACTGCAGCCTCACCACACTCAAAGGAGGAAGGCAGTCCTGCAGCTAGTTCACAAGCCAGCCCTGAATCCAGGCTTAACTCAGACTCCAGAACCTCCAGCCAACCCCAGAGCCACCTGTCACTGGCTCTCATCTGGACAGAGGCAGCCCGCTTTCCTGACACCCCAACCTCTCCCACCTTCAACCAAGGGTCACCTGTTATGAGGTATCCAGCTCCTCCTCCAGCCCATCCTTCCCCATCCAGGGTGTCTCCCCAAGGCCCCAGAGCAATACCTGCAGCAAGGCCAGGTCGGCATCCTGGGCCAGCTGCTGCAGGTTCTTCACAGCTGATGTGGTCTTGATCACTCGCACCAAGGCCGGGGAGCAGTCGAGCGGGAGCTCACCCAGCAGAGACTTCTCATCGCTGAGCAGCAGCAGGGCATGGTATGGGCTGTGGAGCAGAGTTAGGTCAGCAGGACACATGAGCCACAGGTCCCCTCTACCAGGTGTGCACCTGGAACCAGAGGTGCAGCTGGGGCCCACAGGCACTGAGCCTCAGAGAAGAGAGACCACAGGAGGAATCAGAGACAAGGGCAGTGGTATGTCCAGGGGCCTTTAAGCATCTGCAAGGGTTACTGTCACTCTAGGGAAAAAATAGTTAGAACAAAACTGAGGGACGTCAGACGACCTGACTCCATCTCCCACCTCTGGGAATGCCCAGCACATGTTTGTTGATTGGAAAAAAAATGAATGAATCTTTCCTAAGGAAAGAGCCCCAAATATGGGAAAAGCAAAATCGCTGCCGAGGCTATGAATAGAACTACATAAAAATATGCCTAGCAAGGAAGCCAACAGGAAAGACATCGACTTGGAGCACAGGTTGGGGGAGGGAAAGAGGATGAGGCAGTGCTTTGCTTTCTCGTCTTCAAATCTTCTGTGAATGTGCCCAGAGTTATTTTTTTAATTAAAAAATATTTAAGGAAACTAGGGACTTGGTTGGAGACAGGAGCAGGAGGAGACTGGGCTCAGCTCTTCCTGCAGGAAATCAGTTAAATTAAGAAATGGCAATCCTGCAAGTTCAGATTCAAATGCAGGAAGAAGCAGTGAGCAACACCGTGATAGCATCCCTCCCAGGGTGAGTCTTCTCCCCAGGATGCTTGCTCGAGCCACGGTACACGGGACTAAGGGGAGGACCTCAGCATAGAGCCCCACTCACCCAGAGGGTGCCCAGAGGGCCCAGGGAAAACCCAGGCTGGTCAGTTCTACACAAAACCAGACACAAGAACATGTGTTTTTACTTCTATAAACAGGAGAGCCCTATCTGCCAATTTCTGTGGCAGGAAGAGGAAAAGAATTTTTGGAGCAAAATAATTGGTGAAACCTCAGGCAGAAGAGAAGGGGCCCTGCAGGGAGTGTGCATGAGGCCGGCACTCACCGAATAGCCTTCAGGCTCCGCTCTATGGCCTCAGGGGGGATGAGGCTTGCAGCAGCATAGTGGATCTTGTGGGGCAGGCAGAAGCTCACCTCCAGCCAGCTGTTGATGTGCAGCCGCACCACGCCAGACGTACACAAGCTGCAGACGGCAGACTCCATTACTGTCAGTGCCACCACCCATTCCCACAGCAACTTCTACCCAGGCACAAAGATCCCACAAAACCCTGCCCAAAGGTGCTTCTTCCCAGTACACTGCTCCTGCTGGTCAAAGGAAACTGTAAGTGGACAAAGATGCAAGAAAGCATTTTTCCAGACCTCAGTATGCTGAAGAGAAGAAAATATGTTTGGAGCACACACACACAAATTGTATTTCTTCCTTGCCCTGGGCTCTGTAATCCAACCAGAGTATAAGAGCTCAAGAGAAGCATCTTTCATCTCTGTCCCAGAGAATAAACACACCAGGGGTGTTCAAATGCCTCCTCCTGCACACCTCATGTCAGCCCCATCACAGGTGGGCAGCGAGGCAGGGCAGGGTCTGTCTCCCAAAAGAAGCGGACAGGAAAGGAAAGGCTGGGGGTGCCAAGTCCCTTAGGACGTCCTATCAGGGAGAAGTACATAGCACCCACCTCCCTGCAAGTGCCAGCGGCGCCCCAGGTGCACCAACCTTAGCCTCAGCGAGGGCAGTTTGGTTCGTTCAGGCCAAAACCTTGCTCACACCAAGTATGGCAATGTCCCTGGCTCCTCATTTCTCTCACGCCCCACCTCAAACCATTAAGGAATCCTGTCTGTGTCACCTACAGGGACCTATTAAGTCCAGATCTCCTCAGCACTGGCCCCCTCCACCTACCCACCCCCATAGGCCCCACAGCTCCCAGCCCAGCAGTCCCAGCCAAGACCCCCAAATGCCAGCAGCCCCATGTGATCTGCCCACGTTTCCCTGACTTTGTTTCCTACCCCAGGTAGATCCAGCTACACTAGCCACCCTGCTGTTCTCAGGGCCCTGGTACTTGCCCTTGACCACAAGTCTCCCTGCAGATGCTCTGGAGCTCTTTCCCTCCTTCAGATTTCAACTCAAGTGCCACCTTCTCAGTGAGGTACACCCTGACCCCGGCCCCAGCCCCACAGGCAATCTGCCTGCTCACTGCTCACATGTGCCTCGAGCACTCGAGCACAGGACACACCTCTTCACCTGCTGGCTGACACTGTCTTCTCGACCAGAATTCAGTCACGAAGTGGGGTCTGTGTTTCATTCATTGCTCACACCATGGCTGGTCCAGTGTGGGATATGTGGGGGGCACTGAGAAGCATTTTATAAACAGAGGAAGGAACGGGGCCCAATGGATGTTTCGTGCTCTGGTGGCCTCTCTCTCAGGAAGCCTTTGCCCAGAGAACAGGCTCCCAGCAGCTCCCTGTGGCCCTGGAATCCCTGCACTGGGGAACCACGTACCAAGTGGCTGTTTTCAGCAAGAGCTTCTGCAGCTCCCCAACAGAGAAGCCAGCCCCATGGCCTGGCTGCTCGGCCCCTGCGCTAAGTGCTAACAGCACTTGGTGTTCAATGTGGAAGAAAAGCAACTGCTTGAGCAATGTCCCCATGGCTGATCCTCATGCCCCTAGCAGGTGAGAAGGGGACCTGTACCCACTGTGAAGGCCTGGCCTGCCCTGACCCAGCTAGGTTAAGCGGTGCTCTTCCCAGCACATTTCAACCCTGACACACTATTCCCAGTTGGCTGGATGGGCTGAGATGCCCACATCCGGCTGAGCGTGGGACAGGGCAGTGGCTTGGGGAGAGCTGGTGGGAGCTACCATTTCACCCAGTCTCAGACCTCCCCTGGGGAAGGAGCCCTACGGCTCTCACTCCCCACACCCACATGCTGTTCTTACAGACTCTCTCCTGAACTCTCAAGCAGCAGATTAACAACCCCAAGCTTCTCCCCACAGATCTGCTGGAGAACTGGCAGAACCTGGGGTCAGTGACTTCAAATGCAAAAATAAGTCTATTCTCTCAAGCAGCGAACAGGCAATGGGGGGAGAAAATGGCGGGAAGAATAGAGAGCACACCTATCACCTCAACCACTCCCGGGGATTCTGCCAATACCATCTGCTCACCACACACTGCCCCACAGCTCCCAAACACCTCCTGCCTGCCCTGCAGGGGCACCAGAACACCCTTGCCCCTCTCTAAGGTTCTAAATGCCACGGAGGAGTACCCCTGGCTTCAGGGGATGTGGCTTGAGTCTGCGAGGAAAAGATCTGGCCAGTACTGGGGCCACAGCCCTGCAAGGCGAACCCTATGGACAGGTCTGATGAGCATCACGATTTGGGGGAGACAGTTTTCCCCCAAGGTCTCAGAGGAGAACCCCACTCTTGGCTTCTTCCAGAACTGAGTGCTAAGTACATCTGAGTAGATGAAGGCTCCCATGGTCCTGCCCTTCCATGGCTGAAGGTCTCTGCTGGCTGGATATCAAGCCCTGCGAAACGGCTCAGCCTCATAAGGAATGAAAGGTCATGCCATGAGAGAGTTGCCCAGGGTACCCAGCTTAGTTGCTCCACTTGATTAAGTCAACAGTATTTATATCCTCAGCATCCACATCCAAAAGGGAAGAATGAGGAAAATCAGGGGCTGTAGGGAGGATGAAGTGTGCAGGCTCTTCCTCTGTTTCACTCTATACCTGGTCAAAAAGGCTGGTCGATTGAAAATAAGGGTCTATTTCTGAGTTGTCTTCTGTAGCATATTGCTCAGAGTAGCTATTCAAACACCACAGAATCAGAATTAAACAAAGCTCCCTATCATTTTTAAGGTAGCTGGGTCTTTTTAATTTTTTAAAAAAGACTTTACTTATTTATTTTTAGAGAGACAGGGAGGAACAAAGAGGGAGAGAAACAATGATGTGTGAGAGATGCATCGACAAGTTGCCCCCCTGCACACCCCCAACTGGTGGCCTGGCCTGTAACCCAGGCATGTGTCCTGACAGGGAATCAAACCAGCCACCTTTTGGTTTGCAGACCCACCGTCTAGTGCTCAATCCACTGAGCCACGTCAGCCATGGTGGTAGCTGGTTTTGATGCACCCAGGTACCCAGAGGTGCCACATGCAAGTCCCCAACCACCTGGTATGGTCCAAGCACTGGTTCAGGCTCCTGGGGTACAACTTACAGCCCAACACTCAGGGGCTCTGATTCAGTGGTGCTGGGAAAGCAAACTGTGTGGAACATAAGAAGATGGGAAAGAGCTATAAGAAAAGAGAGAAGCAGAGGAGGGTGTAGGGGTGTGCATTTGGGGGGCAAGTTATTTGGGACTTGGGACAGCCCTCCCGGAGAGACAACAGCAAGTGCCTGATTTGGTGCAAGGGTAATGAACCAGGCCCACACAGCATCTGCACATGTCAGCCACCTCTCGAGCCCTGGCCACGCCATCTGGTGTACAGTGGCATGAGGCCCTCTCCTCAGGGAGGGGGCCACCCATGTTGATTTTCTGGTTTCCATGTGGATGTTACTTTACTTTTCTAAGCATCTGCTCACTTCCCAGCAACCTCTTCCCCTGGAGCACCAAGGCTGGTGCCACTCTACAAACAGTGTGGAAGTCCTGAATGCCACCCGTGGCAGCACCCCAGAGGGCCAGCAGAAGACCCTAGAGTCCTTGGAAAATGCTGGAACAAGTCGGGAGAAGGGAGAACAGCCGTCAAGCTCCCAGAGAAGCCCTGTAAACACCCCGTGTCAAGAGGTGACCTAAGAACTGCACTGAAATCTGTTAAAAGGAGAAAGAGAAAGGCTTATGCCTATTTGTATGTTTTTTTTAAAGATTTTATTTATTTACTTCTAGACACAGTTCTAGGAAGGGAGGGAGAAAGAGAGGGAGGGAAACATCAATGAGTGGTGCCTCTCGCACATCCCCGCCCCCCCCCGCTGGGGACCTGGCCCGCCACCCAGGTGTGTGCCCTGACAGAATTGTGTAGCTTTTTTTTTTTAACTAGAAAATTATTTATTTTATTTTAATAATTGTTCAAGTACAGTTTTCTCCCTTTTACTCCCACTCCAGCCCACCCACCCAACCTTCCCCACTTCCCTCCCATTACCACCCTCCCCCTAGTTTTTGCCCACGTGTCCTTTAAATTTGTTCCTGTAAACCCTTCCCATTCTCCACTGAAATTCCCTCTTCTCTCCCCTCTGGTCACTGTCAGCCCATCCTCTATTTAGTGTCTTTGGTTATATTTTACTTATTTCTTTGTTTTGTTGTTTAGGTTCCTGTTAAAGGTGAGATCATATGGTATTTGTCTTTCACTGCCTGGCTTGTTTTGCTTAGCATAATGCTTTCCAGTTCCATCCAAGATGTTGCAAAGGGTAGGAGCTTCTTCTTTCTTTCTGCTGCATAGAATTCCATGTGTAAATGTACCATAGTTTGTTGATCCATTCATTCACTGATGGCCATCTAGGTTGCTTCCAGCACCTAGCTATTGTAAATTGTGCTGCTATGAACATCGGGGTGCAAAGGTTTTTCTGTGTTGGTGTCTTAGGGTTCTTAGGATATAGTCCCAGCAGTGGAATCTCTGGGTCAAAAGGCAGATCCATTTTTAGTTTTCTGAGGAAGTTCCATACTGCTTTCCATAGTGGTTGTACCAGTCTGCAGTCCCACCAACAGTGCACTAGGGTCCCCCTTTTCTCCACAACCTCTCCAACACTTGTTTGTTGCTTTGTTTATGATGGCCATTCTGATTGGTGTGAAGTGGTATCTCATTGTGGTTTTAACTTGCATCTCTCTGATAGCTAGCGATATTGAACATCATTTCATGTGTCTTTGGATCTTCTGTATGTTCTCCTTGGAGAAGTGTCTGTTCAAGTCCTTTGCCCATTTTTTAATTGGGCTGCTTGTCTTCTTAGAGTGGAGTCATGTGAGTTCTTTATATATTTTGGAGATTAAACCTTGTCTGAGGTATCATTGGCAAATATGTTTCCCCATACAGTTGGTTCTCTTTTTACTTTGATACTGTTTTCTTTAGCTGTGCAGAAGCTTTTAATTTTGATGAGGTCCCATTTGTTTATTCTTTCCTTTATGTCCCTTGCTCTAGGGGACATGTCAGTAACAAGTTTCTGCGTGAAATATGTGAGATTCCCCTAACTACGTTCTCCTCTAAGACGTTAATGG